GAAAGATGCGGTTGACTCGAGAAAATATATTTTAAATTTTTATTATTATTATTTTTTATTATTATTTTTGTTATGAATAATAAAATAAAATAACATTCGAGAAAATTTTAGTGAATCCAAAATTGGGTTACAACACATCCCAAACTCTCTTAATTTAGAGGGCAGACCTGTCATTCAGTGTTATGTACACTATAACAGTCATATCACCTTAATCATTTTCATTGAAATTAAAAAATTTTCATCTCTTTTAAGCATTTTCTTTCTTTCTTGTCTCCACCTTTTTAGCCTTTCTTTCTTTTTTGTATTAAAATAAATATCATTGATGGAGATGATGAACCACGAAACCAATTTGTTATCATACAATTTAAATAATATATTAACTTGTTTTATTGTTCATATAAATAGTAAAATTAATATCATTTATTTTAGTTGTTGGATAATGATAATAAGAAATTACACTTCCTATTCTCTAAAATTATGTTCACAATCATATCTTAACAATGCTATCATATAGTTACGTATTTCGATGTGAAAATTTGGTGGTGATGTTTATGTAAATAAAGGTGAAGCTATGATAACCAGCAAATGTTCATAATATGCTGAAATCCAATACTAAAATGTTACTTTATAAAGGTATTTATATTATAAGTGTTATTAAAATTGATCCTTTTTAATTAGAAACGAGTGATTTGGCTTTTAATGCAACAAGTAGGAGAAGCCAGTTTTTAATTATTAGTATAAAAAATAAAGAAGCTAACCCAGGAGTATAGGCTTCAATAAAAATTAAATATAATCATGTTAATGAAAAATTATTAGGCAGCATATCAAATTCAACTATTACATAAATAAGACTTAAAAATTAAAAAAATAAAAATAAATTAACCACTTTCTAAAAAGGGATAACACTAACTGCAAACCATTTTTAATGGGATTAAATATAATAAGGAATGGGTTTTTATTGGTATCTTACTATGGGGGGTTTAGTAATGTAGTCAAAACGGTATTTGTTCAAAATTTAAAAATATTTTTTATTTATTTTTTAAATTTTTAGATCATTTTAATATATTAATTTCAAAAATAAATTTTAAAAAATAAAAATATATTATTTTAATATATTTTCATGTAAAAATCATTTTAAAACATAACAACTATCACACACAAAAAATAAAAAAAACAAATTCATAATCACTCATAACATGGCAACTAATGTAATTTTTTCCC